TACAGCCAGCTCTTCATCCAGTCTATTCAGTAGTACCTGAAGAAGCCTTCGCTGATAATTTCTTTTCATTGCTTCTATCACTCCTTGGTCTAGGAGTTCGATGAAAGATGTCACATTGAGTGACAGGAACACAGCTCTTGTGTCACCACTAATCAATTCACTTGCGTCGGATGAGATCGCGCGTTGTGCAGCAACAACAAAGCTTTCAGAGGCAGATTTTTGTTTTTTTGGTAGGCCACTGACTGGTACACAGTCATTAAAAAACTAATCCTTAAAAATGCTACAGTCTATCCATGCATTGCGTTGGTTTTTATAGGTTGTACTTAAGCAATTTACTTGGATATTTTTGAATGCCTTTGAACTTTTGGATTTTTCTATTGAAAGAGGTCTTAATTTTAATGAGTTGGAAGCAGTGTTGCATATCATGTTGTGACTCTCTCTTTGCTTTTCTTGTAACATCATGCAATTCCTTCATTTTGAGCGGCTAGTGCGTTCGAAGGAAGCATTTTAGTCAGTCAATCTTTTGATAATTTCTTGTAATTTTAAATAAAATATTCCAATTTCAGTTGAGTCAGCAAAACGTTTTTCGCCACAAAAATTTAATTGTCGGATACCATATTTTTTCTTTCATGAGTCCCTCACTAGCACAAAAGGTTTCACCTTCATCCATAAACTGTTTGTGAAATGCAATAGCTTTGGCTTGGTGTATTGGGCCACTTATCGAGCTATCCGATCCTTTCATTTCTAAAAACCATACCAACAACGCCTCAAAAGTTTGTTCATCGTCTCCTTTCTTCATGGTCTTCCGCGCCAATCCGTTCCCCAACACTCACACTTCGGTTAACATACTGTTCGATTTCATTCCTCTTACGCTTCCAATCTCCAACAGTTACTTCTCCAGCATATAAATTTGAAGCAAACTTTCTTATTGATTCATCCTTGTCCATTTCACTCTGAATTACATGGGAACAATAAATGTAGACAAAACGCGATAAAGACATTTCTAAAAATAAGACGATGACCAATTTCTGAAAATTTCGTCTCGACCTAACAGTTACGACTCACCAGTTACGACTTTTGTCTTGGTTAACCAAGGGGCTCGGATAAACTAGACTCGGATAATCGAGAGTCTACTGTACTGGCATTTGCAGACGATATCGATCTAATAGGAAACACACGATTAAGGATGAAGGAGACTTTCGTGAGGTTCGAGAAGGAAGCAGAGAAGATGGGGCTCCAAATCAACGAAAACAAGACGAAATATATGTCTATGAGCCGTAATAACCAAAGCAGAGACAGAATCGGTCAGAACATCATGAAATCGATGACTTTAACTTTGAGCACGTTAGAGAATTCAAGTATCTTGGAACAACAATAACTGAAAACAATAACGGATCACAAGAAATAAACAACAGGATTCAGGCCGGCAACAGATGTCTTTTTGCCCTCCAAAACCTTTTAAAAACAAAACAACTAACACGACGTACGAAGATACAGGTCTATAAAACAATCATACGACCCGTTGTGATGTATGGAAGCGAAACGTGGACAATAACAAAGGTAAACGAAGAGAGACTATGTATTTGGGAAAGAAAAATTCTAAGAAATATCTTTGGTCCTTTGCTGGATGAAGCATTAGGGCAATATAGGATAAGAACTAACAAAGAGTTCGAAGAACTTTACCCAGACGCCAACATCATAAAAGAAATAAAGTCCAGAAGACTCCAATGGGCAGGACACCTCAGAAGACATTCTGATGAACGAACAGTAAGACTGGTGTGGGAGAAAGTCAAAACTGGAAGGAGACCAAGCGGACGCCCTCGTCTCCGGTGGCGAGATAATGTAGCAGGAGACCTAAGCACTATGGGCGTGGAGAATTGGATGGAGGTTGCTCAAGACAGAAAACAGTGGAGGCATGTTGTCGAGTTGGCTAAAACCCACAAAGGGTTGTAACGCCACGAAGTAAGTAAGTAAGTAAAATTAAGATCCATATTATGTAGATTAAACAAGAGAGGACTAAACGCATATCCCTGCGGCAAACCTTGATAAACTATCCTTGGACCAAATTAATTTATTATTGCACCGAATGAATACTTGTCTATTAACAAATAGATTAACCAATACCTGTGCACATCTAGTTGGGATTCCTATATGTATCAGTTTCTCGAAAAGTAAATTTAAAATAATATTACATATGCTCCGGAAATATCTAAAAAAGTGCTTCTAAATAATTATTATTTGAGTAGGACAATTGGATCTCAGTAGTTAATTGTGACAGACAGTCGATATTTCCTTAATTTCTCCGAAGGCCCAACTGAGCTATCGGGAATATGCCTTCTTTTTCACACCACCATTCCAATCTAGTTTTAAGGATCCGTTCAAGTGTTTTTAGTAGACATATAATTCAGATAATTTATTTTAGCTAAAGGAATGACCAGACATTGCTTAAGAAAATCACAGTTATCTTCTTTTAGTAAAATATATAGATAAATGCATAGATAATCTATAGCAATTTCGGGAAGATTTGTTAACATGGGGTAATTTATACAGTCCATACCTGGAGATGTATTTTTTAAAATTTTAATGTTTGTTGTAAGTCCCTTGGAGTGATAGGAGTGAGTAAAACGTGGGCATCGATACGGTTCTCTGGTATATTTATTGGCATATGAACAGAGTCGGGAGCAATTGTAGATAAAAGTTGTTTAACTGCTGATTCATCGTTAATGATAATTTTTTTCTGAGACTGAATTTTATTTACCCTTTTGCAAATGTCTGATGAAGGGGTTTGCCTACTAAAGGAAGAGCAATACTGTACCCAGCTAGATTTGGCTTTTAAGCTAAAAGTACGTTTACACATAGCCTCGTTTCTTTTATATTCATTAAAATTCAAAAGAGTTAGAGTAGATTTAAACTTTTTAAAATAATTGTTTCTTAAAATTGAAGCAGCTAGGCACTCCTCATCCCACCACAGAGGAACTTTTACAGGTTTAGTTGAATGTTTAATTGGTGCGCAAGATTTGTTCGCTGTATTTGCAATAGAATCTAATAAGAATAAAATTATCTCGTTAGTATTATTAATAACTGGTTTCAGTGTGAATGCTTCAGCTGTGGTAACCCTGAATTGTTCCCAACTAGCATCAGGCATCGATCACGTAACTGTGGATACAAACCTCGTTTTCTATTTTAATATTATTGATAGAAATTCAAACAGGTAAGTGATCGGATCCATTTGTATCTTATATAACAGTCCAGTCAAAAGTTGAGCATAAATTGGAAGATAAAATGGTGAGATCTACAACAGATTTGGTATATCCTGGAGGAGCAGACGATCCATCGTTTACGATAATTAAATGAGGAAAAGAATCCAAGGCTTCTTTTCTTCAAGGCATTTGATCCCCATAATCTGTGATGCGCATTAAAATCACCAGAAATAATACAGTCATTGTTAATTTGTGAAAAAAGTTGACATAATCTTGCAACGATACTTTAACTTTTACTGGTTGGTATAAACTCAAAATCGTGTACTTTTTCTTGCCAATACTAACGTTTACGCCACAGACTTCCAAGTTTTGATTGGAATTATTAACAAATGAAATAGGTTCATAATTGATGTTATTTGATATAAATATAGCTACTCCACCATATCCGTTAGCTCTAGTTTTACTTACTATATTAAAATTACTAAAACAAACATTATCCATTAACTTCTTTAACTTTGTTCTCAAATTAAATGTCATTGATTTTAAGATTAGAAGCCATATTTGGAGAAGCATTAACAAAATCTTAAAAGCTTTGTTTTTAACGTCAAATGTCGATTAACGGTGTTTGTCGGTGCAAATCTATTCTTTTGAACTGGGCTATAATAACCTGGATTATCACTTATTTTCTGAGCTTCCTTACCTGGATTATCACTTCTTAATATATAAAAAATAAATTCAACATTTCAACAACATTCAAAACAACAAACACGTTGAGATCTATTATGTCCAAAACCAAACCTAACAATGAACAAGAAAGGACAAAGAATTGCATTTATAAAATACCTTGTGAATACGATCAGTTTTATTTAGGTGAAACATTAAGGCCACTAAATGTTAGAATAAGTGAGCATCAATCTTATATTAAAAATAGAGAATTTGATAGATCTCAAATATGTAAACACTCATGGGATAATGAACATAGGGTTCAATGGAATAATTCAAATGTAGTCCTAAACGAAACGGATGGTAAAAAAAGAATAATCAAAGAAGCGGCTCTAATTATGCTAAATGAGGCCAATTGTGTCGCAAATTCCTCGGCAGAATGTAGTAGGATCTGGTTACCAATATTGAAAGAGGAAGTTATTAATAAGAATATGCCAGTATTAGTAAGTCAGTAACATATAGAGGGTACATCATTTATGTTTTTTAAATAACGAAACATATAAAATCAGAATTTTGGTGTTTATTGAATTTAAACTAAATGCACGAACAAATACTTACCATGTCGGGATAGTATTATGAGGTTTTTTTTTCCTGGGTTTTCCCTCATAATTTAGTATGGAATCACTAACAGAGGAATTTTACTGTCATCATGTCATGTGTTTGTCTTTTTAAAGACGAATTACATGCTATGATTTTTTTTTTGGCTGATATTCTCAAGTTAAAGTTGATTTCATGTAATCGAATGAGCTATCTTATAAGTAAAGTCGTCCCAGGAGCGCAACTCAACAATATTGGCAATATCATTTTAAATCGTCTACTTTAAAATGCATAATGTATGTCTGAATTGTCAATATAAATGAGTCAGATAAAATTAAATTATTAGAAGAATTATTCACTATGTAACAAAAAACAAAATTTGTTTAATTTACTGTTTGTATTTTGAGAACGATTTCCGAAGTGGAAATTGAAACGTCAATAAACGTATTTTTATCTTTAATTGTGGCTTATTCCCAGTTAAATAGTAATTGAAGATGGTTAAATTAATAAATTATATAAACTAAAGACATCTCAGTTTAAAAAAATATTTATTTTAATTATTTTCTCGTATTTATTGTATCTACGGTATTTACTTGATGCATAATGCCATTCGATTCATGAACATATTGATTCTTTTTTATATCCAGAAGATCTTGCTTATTAATTTCACACATTCTTTTAAATGAAAAAATTTTTTTAGTTTCATCTTTACTTCTACTATTATTAGCATCTTTGCTTCTCATTTCCTTTTTAGCCATAACATAACTAGACAACTGAACTTTAGTCATCATTCTAAGTATAGCTTCCTTTATAGCACTGATCGCTATCTTACAGACAGTATCATCTTCGTAATCCATGTTAAATTTAAGATTTCGTATATCGCACTGAAATATTATTCTGTTAAACAATATTACTTGTAACATATTAAGAAGATCTACTTTACGGACTTGTATGACATAGCCTTCTTCATTTAAAGATTCTAGAAATAATATAACCTATGATTACTCTATAGAAATATGACTGTATATACCATTTTTCAAAGTAAAACACTTGCAAGTCACGATTTCGACAAAGTGACGTCACTTATATTTAAAATTTCCAGAACATCAACCTTAGAGTTCTAATTTTTATAACACAGCTAATAATACGAAACCCATACGGAACTGCTGGATCTTTCAAAGGCGTCACCATGGTGTAATAATCAGAAAAATGTGATCATCATTATATTGGAAATTTTAGAATTATATTGATTCAATATCCAAAAACATTTGTTATTATTAATAATATAAATTTTACGAAATAACTCTTTCAAGTCTAATATTCCACAAAATAATAATTTTAATTAAATATATTAGACAATTGTACGCAACTGATACGGAAATACTTCAAATTATATTGACAGTTCAGCGTTGGCAAAAGTATATTAGGTGTTGCCGCTTTTTTAGAGTAGGAATTTTGTTTATGTTTTGAGTGGTTTTGATTTCCTAGACAATTTGATCATAATATAATATATAATATTAAATTGTATTTTCAAATACATATTAAATTTAGATTAATATCTTTAAAAACTAATCATTGTTGTCTATTGTGAATGTGATATGCGAAAATAAATAAATAGTATGTAGAAAGCTGATAAGCTTTCATATAAGATAGATTACTTTGAACAAGATGTTTTTACTATTAAAGCCCTAAAAGAGGTAAGTTTAACAAATAGTTGACATTTTAAAAATTCCTCACTTACTAACTATTCTGATGTTTTGGCAACGCTGTGGGGTTCTGACGACGTAAATCTTAAATGACGTGCAACTTTTATATGAAAAATGCTATATATACTTGTTGCATAAATTAATTTTCATATTTTGATTAAGACTTAAATGTAAAAAAATATTGTGAAGTTTACAAATAAAATAAATAATTTAAAAAGCAAATTTAGAAAATAAAATAAATACTAATAATAAAACATTTTCTGTGATACCGCAGTTTCTAGATCATATCACCATATCTAAAGAATTTAATATCAAGAATTAATTATACCATTTAAAAAATTAAAAAATGAATATTGTTCAATATTTTCTCAATAAAAATACTATGCCCTCAATTATTAATTTGAAGTAGAATTAATTTGGTAGAACTGATTGGCCCGACTACTTTTATGTTTTATGCTCAAATTGTAGTAGTTTTGTCAGCTCTTAGTTTACAATAACAATATAGTCCCATAGATAAAATCCTTCAGTTATTGCAACATTGCCAATTATCAAAAAAAAAAAAAAAAAATACTAATCCAATAAAATCTTAGACGTGCAGAAGGATATGACCTCTTTCAAAATCATGAATAACCAAAAATGTTATTTTTTGAATGATAATTGTGAGAACAGATCACAGGATGCAAGCGACCAGTATATAATAAAGACCATAATTTTTACTACAAGTTTGTCGGAGCGGTCAGATTATTTTTAAAAATACTTGTATAAAACTGAGACAAGCTGTTTATATTTTGCCTGCTTTGTACAGTCCTGTATAAAGACCGTTATAATCTTCTGCCATAAAATCGCTGCTAAAACGCATTTCTAACCCAAGTGGTGTGTTTACGTAATAGCACGCAAATATTTTCCGGTATATGAAAGAAATTAAGTATGAAATTTTTAAACTGGTATAATCCTAAAAATTTACAAATTCGATTATAATATTGTATGAAAATCATTGTCAAGATCCTGTTTTGAATTATACGACAGGTTTGGCCTATGTAAGATCGAGAGCAGTCTGCACAAGAAATTTCATAAACTCCGTGTTGTTTATATGGAATGGTATTATATGGTAGAACAAAATTTTGAGAATCATTATATGAGATATTGTTTATTGAAAACATTTGGGTGTGAATTTTATTTCATTATTTTTATTTCAATATATAATGTTATATCATATATGTTTTTTATTATTCCGGTATTCTTTGGACCTTACCTTTCACATGTAAAGCATAGATATTGAAGCACGAATATAATCCTGGGGTAAGAGAATTAAAAAGTGTGATAGAATCATAATCATATCATTGAAATAATTTTAATTAATTAATTAATTAATTAGCTGATTACTTGCTTGGCGCACTAAGATTTTGAATATCATATATATCTATATATATATATATATATATATATATATATATATATATATATATATATATATATATATATATATATATATATATGTTATATGTATATACATAACAGGTAATATATATATATATATATATATATATATATATATATATATATATATATATTACCTGTTATGTATATACATATAACATATATATATATATATATATATATATATATATTGAAGATAAGATTTAGTGTGGATAAGAATAGAAATTTGTTTTTGTCCGTTGGCAACAAAATTGTCAAAAAACCCCTTTGTGTATAATTAGAAGACATTTTACCTGTAAGTTAATCTTGTCATTGTTTGTGTATTAAATGACCATATTCTAATCTTTGGAAACAGGTATATATTGTATATTAACAGACTGAGGACAAAAAAATCAATTTTTATTTATTCTTTCTCTGAAACAGTAATTTGGTCTTCCCAAATGATACACAGAAGTTTTAGAATAAACATTAACAGTAGTAAACAAGATTTGAGCTTTTGATTGGATAGTCGTTTTTGAATGGTAATGGGGTTAGCCTAATTAGGAGACCGGGAGCCAGGCAGTTGTAATTTGACCATCGAAGGAAACAGTCGTTTGTTTCAAGATAGGGCGTGGTTCGTGAGTTTGGATACCGGCATTGTGAAAAGAAAAGAATAGTTTTGCTGAAGAAGATAACAAGTAGATTAAGAGAGGTCCGTGTATCTACCGTGGGATTTTGTGAAGTATATGTAAAAGTAGTTTTACGGCATCAAGTTGACAAAAGGAGGTCATCCTTGTGTCATTAATAAGTAGCTGAGTTTTTGGAGAAGTGAATCAGGTGTTTTTGTGTAGTCTGCAGAAGGTTTGCAGAGACGTCAGGAAGGAGCCGAGGTGCCAAAGAGGAGAGATCACATCGTTGAGGAGACTGGACTTCTCAGGGTATGTTCCAACATACAATTCAATAAGGAAAAAAGCTGCAAGTGTTTTGTACAATTGAAATTGGTACCTGTGAAGGATCTGTGTTGACATCATGGTCATTATCATTTAAATTTAAAGAATTGAGTTTTATTTGACTAATTAAAAGTTTAAAGTTTTGTTGTTTTTTTGTTTCAAGTAAAGGAAAGTTTAAGTAAAATTGGTTTTCACTTAATATAAATTTATGTAGATTTAAAATCTTATTATTATAAAAATTTCTTTTATTTTCTTGTATGCTGATTGATAAGATAACGGCAGAATTTGATAATTGTTTTATTCTTTTTCATATAAAATAAAGAATACTTAATTTTTTGTAATATACTATTCTCGTTTATTATTATCCTTCTTCTCTGTCCCGATAAAGGACAACTAGAAAATCTTTGAATACACAGGTAATATAAGGAGTTTTAATTTACATTTGATAACAATTAAGTTATTTTTTATTGGCTCAATAAATTAAAATCAAAGTCAAAATAAACAATCATAACAAATGGCCCCCAACGTGTAAAGCGTAGAAAGTATTTCTAGTTGAAGGTTAAAAGGATATAGAAACAAAGCAGATTGATTGAAAATTTATTTGCCCATGGTTAAAGTTTATAATATTTGCTTTAATGACATAACATTTCAAATTTCTCTAGGTACAAATGTTTGCATGATATATTTTATGATATTTGATTGATTTTTATAACTGACAAAAGTTTTAAATTTTATTGCATTTATTTGAATTTATTGCATTTGGGATAAGAGGAAAAGTTTTCGTCTTTGCAACATTACTCGAATTTCATATTTGGCGGGGATATTATTGCACAAATTTCAAAGCTTCATATTTGGCGGGGATAAATAATCTAACGAAAATGTCGATCACAAGAAGCAAAAGTAAAGAGAATTTAGAAACAACAGCTATGGAAACAGAAAAATCTGGAAGAGCCCAGCTTATACAAATGTTTCAATTACAATCACAAAAAGTGGAAGCAAATCAACTGGAAACAACACAGGTAATACAAGAGAATCAAACGGAAACAAAACAAATATTGAACGAAAATAACCGCAGAATTGAAGAAAACCAGAAGGAAACTAAACAGGCAATAGAAGAAAACAACAAAAAGATAGAAAATATCAAGGAAGATATGGTACAGAAAATAGAAGTAATTGTACATGAAAATGCGAAACAGAAGACAGGGATTAAAGAAATGAAACTTCAAATGAAAGAAATCAAGAATATCCAGAAAAAGGAATTAAAAGAGTTAGAAATAAAATTTGGAAATGCTCGTCAAGAAGACAAAGAAGAGAGAAACGAACGGGAGAATGTTTTTAAAGAGGATATAAAGGAAGTAGAAAAAAGACTGAAACAGAATGAAAGAATAATAGAGGAAATAAGACATCAAAATAGGGTCGAAGAAACAAGAGAAATAGTGATCCAGAATTCCGGCGAAGTAAAATGATAGTTTGGCGGGAGTGTAAGAAAACTGCACCCCGTACCGTTCATGAATAATCTAAAAAAGAAGATACAATACATGGGAAACTTTGAGGCAGCTAAGGAAATGATCAGAAATAATCTCAAAGATGAGGCGAGTCTATGGTTCGACAGCAAAGTGGAGGAATTTAAAAATTGGCAAGAATTTGAAAATAAATTTCTTTTTTTCAGAGTTTTTTCTGGGGAAAGACAGAGCAATTACAGATAAACAAGAAGTTGCAAAATGGGAAATACCATGAGAGGATGGGTATATCAGAAAAAACATACGCATTACGCAGTACAATAACGCAAAATATCTGCAATACAATTATTCATCCGAGCCCTTAGTAGAGTTAATTGCAAGACACTTTGATGACACAATTGAAGATCAAATCAATCTACAAAACTACAAAGACATCGATAGTTTATG